ACTCACACACACACACACACACACACACACGTTTCCTTGTGCTCATCAGATAAACGCTAAGCTGACACCATGCTAATCTCTTTGTCTTCCCAGTGAGGATGAGGCGATTAGAGCGTGTGCTAGCAGCTTATTAGCATGTGTTATTAGTTCCACTAATCTGCAGGAACAACAGGCTCTGGAGGACTCTGAGCAGCGGGAAATCTGCCCTGTGTTTACCAGCAGCCTTTATTCTACTGTACTGCACACACCATGATCAACTCATGCATGCTGAAGATCAGTGTTAATCACATTCAGTGTTGGGTCAAATAGGGACATACCCAACCGCTGGGTAAAAAAAAATGTCATTTAAATTTAATTGTTTAATAATATGAGCGGTATGAAAGACTAAATAACTTTGAACAAACATGCTTGTCATATTTCTGGAAGAACACTTCTGGACTACACTATATAAATGCTGGATTTTTGTAACCTAATGTTGGGTCAAATATGGACAAACCCAACCGTTGGGTTAAAAAGTGTCATTTAAATTTATTGGAAAAAGTAAACAACTCAACATTTAGTGTAATGTCATTGTGTTCAAATATTTAGAACGATAATAAAGACGAAATAACTTTGAGCAGGCATTTACCCAACACTGCTGGAGGAAGAAGTAAGTAAACAAATGCTGGCTTTATTACCCAGAGTTGGGTCAGATATGAACAAACCCAACATTGGGTTAATTTTTTCAATGGAATATATCTTTAAACTTTTTAACACAGTGGCTCGGTTTGTCCTTATGTGACTCAACTTTGGGTTAAAACAACCCAGCATTGTTTAGATCTTTATTCGACAGTGCACTGATAAACAGACTGTAGTGCTGAGCCATTTAAATGTATTGGAAATGAGTAAGAACAATAACCCGGTGTGTAATGTCCTTGTGTTCAAATATGCAGAACAATATTAACTTTGCTGGAAGAAAACTCGTAACTACAGTAAACAAATGCTGACTTTCTGTTACCCAGCGTTGGGTCAAATATGTACAAACTCAACATTGGGTTCATTTTTTTCAACTGAATTTAACTGTTTTTTTTTAAGATTTATTTTTGGCCTTTATTATATAGGACAGTATTGAGACAGGAAGCAAAGTGTGAGAGCGAGAGAGAGGGTAGGGAAATGTCGTCGAGCCAGGATTCAAACTCGCGACGCCCTGACGTGCTATTGCACCATATGTCGGCGCACTAACCACTAGGCTATTGCGCCGACAACTTTAACTTTTTAACACAATGGTTCAGTTTGTCCTTATCTGACCCAACGTTGGGTTAAAGCCAGCATTTTAAAATCTTTTTTAGACACTGCATGTAGGTAGTGATGTTGCCTCACAGCAAAAAGGTCGCTGGTTCAATCCTCGGCTCAGTTGGCGTTTCTGTGTGGAGTTTGCATGTTCTCCCTGTGTTGGCGTGGGTTTGCTCCGGTTTCGCCAACAGTCCAAAGACATGCGATGCAGGCGAATTGGGTAGGCTAAATTGTCCGTAGTGTATGAGTGTGTGTGTAAATGAGTGTTTGTGGATGTTTCGCAGAGATGGGTTGCGCCTGGAAGGGCATCCGCTGCGTAAACATATGCTGGATAAGTTGGCGGTTCATTCCGCTGTGGGGACCCCAGATTAATAAAGGGACTAAGCTAACAAGAAAATGAGTGAATGAATAGACACTGCATTGGTAAACAGACTGCAGTGCTGAATGCATGCAGCCAATGAGTTTTAATCAGAGCAATTCTCAGCGAGAGTCACTGTAGCCCTCATCTGCTACACAAGCATTAGATCAAATATGGACGAACCCAACCGTTGGGTTAGAAAGTGTCATTTTAATTTATTTAAGAAATGAACAACAACAACACAATGTCTCTAACAGTTTTTTTAAGTGTTCAAATAGACAAAATAACTTTAAGCAAACACTTTCCTAACACTGCTGGAGGAAGAACACTCATAACTACAGTAAACAAATGTTACCCAGTGTAACCCTGCCAGTCCTACACCACCCAACCCGCTCTGAGCTGGGATTGAACCGATGATCTTCCGCATGGGAGTCGGTTGCTCTAACAAGGAGGCTAAAGACCATGACCTCTAGTGTCCATCGCTAGAGCACCTTTAGAGATCAGAGTGAGGTTTACCTGCACAGCACCTACTAGCTGGCCTCCGTTACACTCACCCCCCTAAACCTCACTCCTATCCGGATCACAGCACCAATGTAACCCCGCCGATCCTACACCACCCAACCCGCTCCAAGCTGGGATCGAACCCATGATCTTGCGCATGGGAGTCGGTTGTTCTAACAAGGAGGCTAAAGCACATAGTCTCTAGAGTCTGTCGCTAGTGCACCTTTAGAGATCAGAGGTTTACTTACACAGCACCCACTAGCTGGCCTCCGTTACACCAGCATTGGGTCAAATATAAACAAACCCATCATTGGGTGGATATTTCCAATTAAATGTAACTAAGAACTTTAACTCTGAACTTTTTAATGCAATTGTCCCAAAATTGGGTTAAAACAACACAGCATATTTCACATCGCACCTTTTAAAATCTGAATGTTTGCATGCAGCAGATTTAATCTCACTCGTTCTGTGAGAGATGCAGATGTTTGAGTCTCTATAACCGTCATCTGCTATACTAAAATATGTGTTGGGTCAAACATGGACAAACCCAATTATTTAACCCAATGTTCCGTTAAAACAACACAACATTTTTAATACCACCTAAAGCTCACTACTTTTTTATTGTAAAGTTCACTGTTGTATTCTATCCCTAATCTGCTATATTCTCTAAAAATGCTGGGTTGTTTAAACCAAACCTTGGGTCAAATATGGACAAACCCAACCGTTGGGGTAAAAAATGTAAATTAATGGAAAAATGAACAGCAACAACCCAGTGTATTTTAGAGTGCAATGTCTTTGTGTTCAAACGTGTAGAACATTATTAAAGACAAAATAACACCCATAACTACAGTAAACAAATGTAACCCAATGTTGGGTCAGATATCAACAAATCCAAAATTGGGTTAATTTTTCTATTAAATTTAACTTTGAACTTTTTAACTCAATGGTTTGATTTGTCCTTATTTGACCCAATGGGTTAAAAACAACCCAGCCTTTTTTAGATCGCACCTTGTAAGATCAATAGGATCTGTTTCAGACACTGCATTGATAGTCAGTCTGCAGTGCTGAGTTCATGCATGCAGCAAACGAGTTTTAATTAACATTCGTCCTCAGTGAGAGATGTTTGAGTCTCTCCGTAACCCTCATCTGCTCTTCATTTCGCAGGATCTCCATCGCCCGCTTCACCTTTCTGCCCGCAGGCTTGATATTTTAGCTGTAAATGGCATTCCTTCTGCCGTGTGCCTCACTGTTTTAAGCAGCCGGATTACATCTGTAAACTGTGCCGCCCCCAGCAGCGAAGCACACCCATATTTCAGCATTCCTGAGGGTTTGGGGCACAGATTAATGCTGGAGGCAGATGGCAGAGCAGGGTTGGAGCTGAGATGTTGTGGATTGAGGAGTTAATCTGTGCTGTTAGAATATCATACCATCTGTGTTTAATGAGTTAAGCCGAGCACAAACTCAAATCGTCACACCTGACAAAAGCCAAAGATATTCCCCAGATAACACTCACACTCTGGCACCATCCCTCAGAGTTACCAACAAACACTCACTCAACACTTGTTTACAGTTATCTGCCGTTTAGCAGCTCCCAACATGTGAGTTTTCATGCATTAGTCATTTATAGTGTATTATAGTGCGCATAACTCTTTATTAATGAATGCTGTAATAAACTGTAATAAATGCTGTAGAATACTTTCATTTTAACTACAGTAAACGGTGGTGTATTGTAGTATAATGTACCTATAGTTGCAGAAAACTACAGTTTATATTATTATGGCTCATTTGTTTATATTACTGTAGTTGTTACCATAGCAACTGTATAATAACCACAGCAGATCAGTTACTATAGTGGTTGGGTTACCATAGCAACTGTAGGATCACCACAGCAGATCAGTTACTATAGTGGTTGGGTTACCATAGCAACTGTAGGATCACCACAGCAGATCAGTTACTATAGTGGTTGTGTTACCATAGCAACTGTAGAATCACCACAGCAGATCATTTACTATAGTGGTTGTGTTACCATAGCAACTGTAGAATAACCACAGCAGATCAGTTACTATAGTGGTTGTGTTACTATAGCAACTGAAGAATCCTCACAGCTGATCAATCACAATAGTGGTTGTGTTACCATATCAACTGTAGAATCACCACGGCAGATCAGTTACTATAGTGGTTGTGTTACCATAGCAACTGTAGAATCACCACAGCAGATCAGTTACTATAGTGGTTGTGTTACCATAGCAACTGTAGGATCACCACAGCAGATCAGTTACTATAGCGGTTGTGTTACCATAGCAACTGTGCAATCGCCACAGCAGATCAGTTACTATAGTTGTTGCGTTACCATAGCAACTGTAGAATCACCACATCAATCACTACAGTTGTTGCGTTACCATAGCAACTGTAGAATTACCACAGCAGATCAATGCAAGTACTTTACTTTAGCATGGTTCGAAAACTATCCAAAGCAGAAATATGCAGGCTTGTGGCGTGAAATGAAATCATCTGTGGCAAATCTAAAGCTGATTTATTTCAGAAAGATTTTTCATCAGGTAACTTGTAAGCTGTGTAAACTGCGACTGTTGTTTTCTTTAGTTGTTGTTTGTGTGTTTTTAATTTAAGTCACTCGTTTGTTTACCTAAGTGAAAGTCAGACTTTCATTCTTACCTTTTTTTTTTATTTAAACCATAAAATCTTCCAGTTCCTAACAAACTTACAAGCCAACTGGTGCATAACGCTGTTTTATTTACTTGCCAAAGCCAATTTTTCACAGTCACTGCAGGACCCGGGACTGAAGTCATGGAAGACGGAGACTCGTTGTTAGCCCAGTATTTACAAACATCCTTTTCTCCTGTGTTTGTAGGTCTGCCATCTCTCAGCGGTTCGGGAACCGTGACAGTGCTTGTCGGTGATGTGAATGATAATATCCCATCATTCAGCTCGATGTCTTTCCACACCACCATTCCTGAAGATGCACCGACTGGCACAGACGTCTTGTTGCTCAACAGCTCCGATTCAGACGTGGGACTCAATGGAGTGATCAGGTACTACTGAAACCAAAAGCTACAGTATATGTCAAGGATAAAGTAGATCTAGGAGGTTGTTATCACACAATAAAGCCTGACAGGTTTATCAACAGCCCAATGTGAAGCGCAGCACTGTTGTATAAAACTGAAGGGTTCATTCTGAGAAAATAACCGTCTGGATATACTTTATCCTACTGATTATATGGCATAAATTTTATTTAAAACAATGTTCTGAGCTGTATTTGTTTATAAATTTGTTAATTAAACAACGCTGATGCAAGTGAAAACAGCTGATGGAGTATGCACTAACCTACATATATTTTCAGACACTAGATGGCGCCAAACACTTAAAAAAGTGAAGCTGACAAAAACAGCTGAATGGAGTATACACTAACCTGCACATTATTCAGATACAAGATGGCGCCAAACAGTCAAAAAGCTCAGCATGACAGTCGAGCAGACACATTTGAGTGTGGATGTACATATATGGTAGTGAATATATTCACTGATGATTATTCTCAGTTCCCGAATGAGCCACTGTTATTCAGCGGTTGTTATCTGGGAATAACACACCTTGGAATGTTGTGACTGACTAATCAGATTCAAGTATTTTAGACAGCCGTGTAATGAATATTTATACCACAAGTCTGTTGAATGCTTGATTCTGATTGGCTGATGAGCATTCTAAGGTGAGCGATTATTTCCAGATAAAGTAGTTCCGGCAGGTTTTGAGCAGCTCCACATCACTGCTGAATGATTTCACAGTTACAACAGTCAAAAATCACACCAGAACACAACAGGAGGAGATGTGGAAGAAACTAGTGTACACACAGGAGCTGTTTAAGAAGGACAAACACCTGATAATTGTTGAAACCTGCTGAGGAGACTGGAATATACGTGCAATAATTGACCCAAGGGCTTATCTACTAGTAATTCAATCACCTGCCGTCAGTTATTCCTTACTTACTTAATAGTTTCTTCATGACTGCCCCCCTCCAAAAAAAAGCCACGTCACGCAAAAACACTACCCATCACTTGCGCATCTCTAAAGTCCCCCTGCGTGAGCTCATGTGGGGGCAACGTGTTCCACTTTCCCAAAACATGCTAATGAAGATGATAATGAAGTATGACAGATAGATCCGAGCCAATCGGGGGGATTTGACAGTAGGGGGCTTCAGTTCTTAAAGGGACAGTTCACCCAAATCTTTAAATTCTGTCATCATATCCTTGTCCTCTACTTGTTCCAAACCTGATGTTGAAAACAAAGGAAAATATGCTGAAGAATGCTGGAAAAAGCAGCCCCTGACTTCAATATTATTTCTGTCCCCTCTATTGAAGTCAATAGCTGCATTTTCCAGCATTCTTCACAATTTTAGTCCAGCAAAAGAGGGAATGTTTACAACCACTATGATAAATAATCTTCGTTTTTTGGGCGAACTTTCTCGTTAATAGTTTACAGAACCATCTCGATCCATCATAGTTCTCACAGATCATGTGGCGTTCATGAACTGTGCAGAAGATGCGTGACTGTGGGTGATGTTGTCATCTTGCTAGGGTTGTTTTTTCACACGTTGTTCCGTAATGTGAGGAATTCCCATCTCACTGACACAGTCGCACAGTGAAGTTGCCATGTGTGCATGTTGCTGTCAGAACACATTTGTGTCACAAGCCCCAAAAATGAACCCCACTGAAACTCAAAGCAGCATGGGAACGGCTCGAAAGGGGTGTTTCTGATTAACGCAAGATGCTTAGCTCAGACAATGTGCTTTAGGAGTTATGAAAAGACATTTCTGCCACATAAGATACAAAGCTTAGAGGTTTTGCTTCTAAGAATTTGCCTCAAGGCAGGTGCCAACATGATACAGACAGAAAAATATATAAATTTGTAGCCTTCTTGTAGCACAAATTGTTATAGCAAAGCTAAAGTCGTGAGTTTGACTGCTTGGAAATGCAAGCACTGATTAAATTTATACATTGAAAAGTACTGTACGCAGTGTTGGTTAAGTTTCGCTTCTAATGACTTTTTTTTCTGAAAAATAACTTTACTCAAAAGGTGAATTACATAAGTTGACTACTTAAACCTAATATACATCTCAAAGCATATCATATATTGACAATTTATAGTTTTTCAAGTTACTTTACAGCTAATTACAACCAACACTGGGTGACTGTAAGCCACTTTGAGTGAATACATAAATATACATAACAGTAAGAATCAAATGTTTTGATGTGTGTCTAGTTGACAAAGAACATATTTGATTTACAAAGCTGACAGAAACGAAAACAGCTGATGAAGTATACACTAACCTGTGCATTATTCAGACACTAGATGGAGATACACAGTCAAAAACACAACAGAGACTAAAACAGCTGATGGAGTATACACTAACCTGTGCATTAATGAGACACTAGATGGAGACAAACAGTCAAAAACACAACAGACACTAAAACAGCTGATGGAGTATACACTAACCTGCGCATTATTCAGACACTAGATGGAGACAAACAGTCAAAAACACAACAGAGACTAAAACAGCTGATGGAGTATACACTAACCTTTGCATTATTCAGACACTAGATGGAGACAAACAGTCAAAAACACAACAGACACTAAAACAGCTGATGGAGTATACACTAACCTGCGCATTATTCAGACACTAGATGGAGACAAACAGTCAAAAACACAACAGAGACTAAAACAGCTGATGGAGTATACACTAACCCTTGCATTATTCAGACACTAGATGGAGACAAACAGTCAAAAACACAACAGAGACTAAAACAGCTGATGGAGTATACACTTTCCTGTGCATTATTCAGACAAAGAACATATTTGATTTAATGGATAAACCGAATTTGCTCTGTTTGTGATTTGCAGCTACAGTCTGAGTGGTGGAGATGGTCAGTTCTCCATTAACCCGTCCACAGGACTGATCATTACAAGCTCCTTGTTGGATCGAGAGACACGAGCGAGTTACCAGCTGCTGGTAGTGGCATCAGACGGAGGGCAGCCCACGCCACTATCCAGCTCTGCTACAGTGTCCGTGGTGGTGGCAGATATCAACGATAACCCTCCGCGGTTTCACCATCATCCATACGTCACACACATACCTGCCTCTACTTCCACAGGTGGGTCTTCTATGATGCACGGATGCACTTAATTTACTCTGTCTGATCTGTAAGTAATGGCTTTTAATCTGTTGTTTTCAGGCTCACTCGTCTTTGCGGTCACGGTAACAGATGAAGATTCTGGATCAAATTCCCAACTTCACTATTCCCTCACCGGACGCAATTCAGAAAAGTTCAAGATAGACCCAATCAGAGGTGCCATCACTGCCAGTGAAAAACTCACAGGGAGTTCAGAGGTCACTTTCACGGTCCATGTAAAAGATGGAGGGACCAATCCTAAAACAGACAGCACAACGGTTACAGTTCGCTTCGTTACTGGAGGAGACTTCCCACATATTAAACTCAAGGACAAAGCCTTCACCTTCCCAGAAAACCAACCCACAAACACCATTGTGACTAAGGTGACTGGGTCCTCACCTAGGGCAGGTCCTTTGTCGTATTACATAGCAAGTGGAAACCTGGACAATGCCTTCCACATAGATCAACTTTCAGGGGAGCTGTCTATCAGAAAACCTCTGGACTATGAGAATATTGAGAAGTACGTTTTGTGGATTGAGGCTCGAGATCAAGGATTCCCTCCTTATTCCGCATATGAAAAAGTAGAGATCGCAGTGTTGGATGTTAACGATAACCACCCTGTTTTTGAGCAAGAGCCATTCCATGCTGAGATTTTAGAAAATCTCTCACCTCAACGTGTGCTTGTAGTCTCCGCTTTAGACCAGGATAGCGGACCAAATGGGCAGCTGGAATATGCCATAATTGATGGAAACAAAGAAAACAGTTTTAACATCAACCGGGCAACTGGGGAAATCCGCACAACACGACCACTGGATCGAGAAAAGGTTGCTCAGTATTCCTTGAGAGTGAAGGCAACAGATAGAGGCATGCCTCCGAAAAGTACAGCAGTCAAAGTCTTAATCAGTGTGTTGGATGTTAATGATAACGCTCCCAGATTCTCAAAAATCTTCAGCGCCACTGTACCTGAAAACGCACCAGTGGGATTCACTGTCACCCGAGTGACCACCACGGATGAGGATGCAGGTGCTAATGCTATAAGCCGATACTCCATCACTGACGCAAGTCTTCCCTTCATCATCCACCCCAGCACAGGAGACATCACGATCAGTAGACCTCTGAACAGAGAAGACACAGACCACTACATTGCCAAAGTCTCAGCACACGATTCAGGGTGGACTGTTAGCACAGATGTCACGATATTTGTAACAGATATTAACGATAACGCCCCAAGATTTAGCAAGCCATCATATTATTTAGACTACCCTGAGCTAACTGAGATTGGCTCCATTGTGACACAAGTCTCCGCAACAGATCCTGACGAGGGATTCAATGGGAAAATATTTTACTTTATCAGATCTCAAACGGAGTACTTCCGAATCAACTCCAGTTCTGGTGAGATCTTCATTAAACAGCAGCTGAGGTATCAAAACTCTAGTGGCCACAACAACATCAATGTAAACCGGCATAGTTTCATTGTCACTGCTTCAGACCGAGGCATCAAGCCGCTCATGAGCGAAACCACAGTTATGATCAACGTAGTTGATAGCAATGATAACCCACCCACATTCGAATCTCCTTCATACTTCACTCCTGTTACTAAAAGTGTGAAGGTCGGTACCAGACTTCTCAAAGTAACAGCCTACGATAAGAAGGACTTTGGGCTCAACTCTGAAATAGAGTATGCGATATCTGGAGGTAACAGTTCCAACAAGTTCCGCTTGGATAAACAAACTGGATCAGTTACAGTAGCCTCCTCCCTCGCTGCAGACACAAATAAAGTTTACCTGCTTGAAATAACGGCGAGTGACAAAGGGAACCCTCCTCTCTCTGATAGGACAACAGTGAAAATAGCTGTGACAGAAGAGAACCATCATACTCCTGAGTTTTCACAGAACCAAGTAACCGTCACGGTGTCTGAAGCTCTGACTGTCGGCACAGCAATCCGTACACTTTCAGCTCGAGATAAAGACAAGGACAAACAAATGAATGGCCTTATCACGTACAACATCTCATCAGGTAATGACGATGGCTTGTTTTCAGTTCACAGTCAAACTGGTGTTTTATCCCTAGCAAAGACACTGGATTACGAAACAAAACAGAAGCATGAACTCAGAGTGTCTGCAACAGACGGAGGGTGGATCGCCAAGACAAGCTATGTCACAGTTAACATCCAGGTCACTGATGTAAATGATAACCCCCCTGTGTTTGACCCAGTTGAATACTTCCCAGTCGTTCAGGAGAATGTCCCCAGTGGCACTACTGTGGTTAAAATGAATGCAACTGATAAAGACTCGGGTTCAAACGCCCTGATGGCATACGTGATTCAGTCCTCAGACAGTGACTTGTTCATAATTGACCCCAATACAGGAATCATCACTACACAAGGTTTCCTGGACTATGAAGCTAAACAGGTGTACCACCTGACTGTCAAAGCCTTTAACGTACCAGATGAAGAAAGATGCAGCTTTGCATATGTTAACATTCAGCTGAAAGGTGCTAATGAGTACGTCCCGCGTTTTGTGTCAAAGCAGTACTACTTTGAGATCTCAGAGGCAGCGCCTAAAGGCACAGTTGTTGGGGAGGTGTTTGCTAGCGACAGAGACTTGGGAGAAGATGGTGTAGTGTATTACCTGATTTTTGGGAGAAGCAGAAAAAGGGGGTTCAGCATTAATAAGAAAACAGGCCAGATCTACGTCTCAGGATCACTTGATCGCGAAAAAGAAGAGAAGATTTCCCTGAAAGTCTTAGCTAAGAACGCAGGCAGCATAAGGGGGGCAGATATTGATGAGGTGCTTGTGAACATTACAGTTCTGGACGCCAACGATCCTCCGGTATTCACCCAGGAACTCTATGACGTTCAGGTGAATGAGGGTCTGTCTCCTGGTGGCCTGGTTACATTTGTTAGTGCTGAGGATTCAGATTCTGTACCTAGCTGGAGCAGATTCACCTATGCCATCGCTGCCAACCATGAAAGAAATACCTTCACCATCAACCCCCAGACAGGACAGGTGTCTGTTGCATCAGAACTGGACCGGGAAACTGTCCCCGTGTATAACCTCACCATCCTGGCAGTCGACTCAGGTTCTCCAGCTGCCACTGGTAGTGCCATTTTAATTGTGACCCTTGAAGATATTAACGATAACGGACCGACTTTGGTGACTACATATGGGGAGGTGATGGAGAACCAGAGGGCAGGAACACCTGTGATGACACTCAGTTCAAGAGATCCAGATCTTGCACCAAATCAAGGCCCATTCACATACAGTCTCGTCAGCACAGGGGCAGCATCCAGCTACTTCACCATCAGTCCAACTGGGGAGCTCACCACCAGCCGGGAGGTCGACCGAGAGCAGATAAGCGATTTCTACCTCTCTGTGCTCATCAAAGACTCAGGAATTCCTCAGATGTCCTCAACAGGAACTGTCCACATCAAAGTCAATGATCAGAATGATAATCCCTCGGAGTCTCGCTCTGTGGAGATCTATGTCCATTATTTTGGAAATATGTTCCCTGGAGGATCCCTGGGGGTGGTGAAGCCACAGGATCCGGATATCCAAGACACGTTTCAGTGTTCTCTGACTCCGCCAGCGGCTCTCCTCTTCAGCATTCCCACCGGAACCTGTGACCTCATCTCTAACAGTCGCTCCACAGATGGAACGTTTGATTTATCAGTGCGTAGCAACGATGGCGTCCACAGTGCTGTCAACAGCCATGTGCGTGTTTTCTTCATTGGGTTTAACAATGCCACAGTGGACAACAGCATCCTGATACGTGTCACCACCAAAAGCGCAAGTGACTTCCTTTCCAATCACTACCTCAGTTTCTTGCGCATCGCCAATTCACAGTTAGCCGGTCTAGGCACTGGAGTCCAGATCTATGGGGTGTTTGAACTTAACAACAGTACTTTTTTAACAGCTGCAGTCAAGAGAGGTCACAGCCAGTACGTCAATCCAAGTGGAGTAGCAACATTCTTCCAGAGCATTAAAGAGGTTCTGCACAGACAAAGTGGAGTTAAGATTGACTCCGTGGACCATGATCCCTGCTCCCACAATCCATGTCAAAATGGGGGCAGCTGCAAGAGGCGGCTGGGTGTTGGCCCAGAAATGAAGACTGAGGAGAGTGTCCCGGTTATCCTCGTCTCAAATCAGCCCCTACAGCCGTACGCCTGTAACTGCAGGCCAGGGTATGCCGGTGCCCTTTGTGAAACGGATATCGATGAGTGCCAGCCGACACCTTGCCACAATGGTGGAACTTGCCACAACTTGGTGGGAGGATTCTCATGCACGTGCCCAGACGGTTTCACTGGGATGGCTTGTGAGAGGGACGTCAACGAGTGCCTTTCGAACCCATGCCAGAATGGGGCACTATGCCAGAATTACCCCGGAGGCTTTAACTGCCTGTGCAAGTCTGGATTTGCAGGTACAGTCTAACCATAATTAGCATTTTGCCAGTAACACAGATGTTAGTCGAGGCACACAGCTTGCACACAAGTTTGTTAACATTTTAGGCCAAGAAAAATATTTGCTTCTAAGTAATTGGAGGGGTGTTGTAACCCAAGCATACAGTGGCCCTTGCCAAAAGCAGTTTGCTGTTAGGGTCACAGACTGGGAGGTATCAGCTGTGATGCAGATCAACTTGTCATGTTTACTTTAATGAAAGGAGATCATCAGATTCTCACCCTAATAAGGACATAGAAGGCCACGAACCGCCCTCAGATTTCATGAGTGTTTTTGAGTTGATCTGTGTGTATATTGTTTGACTCTGAGAGAGATCTATGAGTTTAAGAGCCATCTGGCTGTATTTGGTCTATTTTATAGCATAGGAAAAAATGCATTGATTTTTTTTTTTAAATGCAGAGATCTATTGAGGGAGAAAATCATCTATGTAAAAGGCTTTGTTATGTAGCGTGAGGCATGTTTTTAAATCTGTGATGAATACTTTATTTGAGTGACACTAAATGTGTTTATGGAAGCGCAGTCTGTGTTTGTGATGGTCAGCTTTGCATAAGCACGTGTGATAGCCTTGACTTGAATCCGCTCTGTTTGGGCAGGTGTTGGCTGTAGCTTTTGGACATTGTTTTCAAGATGGAGACATAACAGACGTTTAGTTTCAGGCTCTGAGTCATTACCATTCATTTTTTTGTACTCTGATCATAACAAACGCCTGCAGTGTGTTCACATCAGGCCCCAGATGAATGGGGCTGCTAGCGAATTACACCTATTGACTTACAGTAGTGTGCATGCACTCCAGTTGAACCCCACACTTCCTGTTATGCTAGCGGTGATGGAGTTTTCGATGAGTCTTCATGCCATTTGTCTTCGAGTGCTGCATGCACAAGCAGAACATTGAGCTCAAATTAAGTTCATGCTTGATTGTTTGTATGTGCATCTTGTTTTATTTGTGTGTGTGTGTGTGTGTGTTATATCAGCAACTCTCTCATGGGTCTCCCAGAACCAGTCCATCTGATGTATATGTGCACAGCTTATATCAGGGGTCACCAAACTTGTTCCTGGAGGGCCGGTGTCTTACAGATTTTAACTCCAACCCTAATCAAACACACCTGAACAAGCTAATCAAGGTCTTACTAGGTATACTTAAAACACCCAGGCAGGTGTGTTGAGGCAAGTTAGACCCTGCAGGGACACCCGCCCTCCTGGACCGGGATTGGTGACTCCTGGCTTATACCTTCCTGACAGACTTTTACCATCTCTTTCTTAGAATTGTGGGTCATTTTACAAGGTGTAAGACTTCAAGCTGTTTGTATTAAAAAGATAAAGTGCCCGAGCCATGTGTGTGAGAGAAAGAAAACACAAGGGATTGTGGGAGCCCCATGTGAGAACGGTCATTTCCATGTGTGTCATGCTCACCTCATTGTTTTCATTGGTGTTGTTTCATGACTTCAGGGAAAGCCTGTGACTCCGTCATCAATTACTGTGAGTGTAACCCCTGTTTTAATGGGGGTTCCTGCCAGAACCGTGTGGAAGGCTATTACTGTCACTGTCCTTTTGGTAAGTCATCATTTCAGCCAGCTCAAGGTCCTGCACTTAATACTAGACTGTGTGTGAGACTGTAATAGAAGATGCAGAAACAAATGTGTTGTAGATTACAGATAATGAACTGCAGTGTGAAGTCGTCAGTTCACACATACCATGTTAACTGGCCATCCATATTTTCTGCTCGGCACTTCGGATGTCATGAATTGCCTTGAATTTCTCCCTGCGAGAAATTCTCGCGCCGCAGACAGTCACTAAATCACTCTCTCAATCCCCCGCAGGTGTGTTTGGAAAGCACTGTGAACTCAACAGTTACGGATTTGAGGAGCTCTCCTACATGGAGTTTCCCAGCCTCGACCCCAACAACAACTACATCTATATCAAGTTCGCCACACTGAAGGAAAACGCCTTGCTCATGTACAATCACGATAATCAAACCGGGGACAAGGCGGAGTTTCTGGCCCTGGAGATCTTGGAAGGCAGAATGAGGTTCTCGTTTAACTTGGGAAGCGGTGCCTACAAGCTCATGACGAGCATCCGGGTCTCGGACGGCCAGTTCCACACGGTCATCGCCAGAAGGGCAGGAATGGTGAGTCCTTTCTGTCTGTCGATCTGTTCACAAGCTACTGAAGTGCTTCAAAACAGTTGTCTTGACTTTTATGGCAATGCGGTGGCGCAATGGGTAGCACTTTCGCCTCACAGAAAGAAGATTGCTGGTTCGACCCTCGGCTTGGTCAGTTCTGTGTGGAGTTTGCATGTTTTCCCTGTGTTCGTGTGGGTTTCCGCCGGGTGCTCCGGTTTCCCCCACAGTCCAAACACATGTAGTACAGATGAATTGAGTATGCTAAAATTGACCATTGTGTATATGAATAAGTGTGTATGGGTGTTTTCCTAGTGGTTGCAGCTGGAAGGGCATCCACTGCGTAAAACATATGCTGGATAAGTTGGCGGTTCATTCTGCTGTGGCGACCCCAGATTAATAAAGGAACTAAGCCCAAAATGAATGAATGATTTTTATTCTGTGATCTTGGGTTTCATTCATTCATTTTCTTGTCGGCTTAGTCCCTTTATTAATCCGGGGTCGCCACAGCGGAATGAACCGTCAACTTATCCAGCAAGGGTTAGGGTTCCCATCTCTGGGAAACATCCACACACACATTCACACACACACACTCATACACTACGGACAATTTAGCCTACCCAATTCACCTGTACCGCATGTCTTTGGACTGTGGGGGAAACTGGAGCACCCGAAGGAAACGCGAAGGCAGGGAGAACATGCAAACTCCACACAGAAACGGCGAGGTTCAAACCAGCGACCTTCTTGCTGTGAGGCGACAGCACTACCTACTGTGCCACTGCCTCGCCCTGTTCTTGGGTTTTTAGAAAGTAAGCAATCTCCAGCTGGTTGATCTTTAAGGTTTTTCACACTGCACTAAGCATGTTCCAGTTCCCCTGTGAACCACAGTGCACCGCCCCCCCACACTCCTCCAGCATCTTTGACCTGAAAAACTCTGAAGAGCCTGTTTTAGTTCAGAAATACAGGTCTTGTGTCTTGTGTAGTCAGATTGAAATGCGGACTTTGGAAAACAGAGGCTGAGCTATCCACAACTGCCCTCTGATTGGTCGTTTATTGGGCTATTGGACTATTGCAAATCATTCACTGATCATATGATCATCAAACATGATAAATGCAGAAGCCAGCAAAAAATTATGTCTATAGTGAGCATGAATATATATATATATATATAAATATATTATAATAGTAGTGTGCAGGGGGACTTTATTTTAATTGAAATGCATGGACATGGAGTGTTTTCAGTCAAACATGCAGTGTTAAAATGATTATGCACTAGTGTAAATACACCCTGAGTACATGAATGATTATCTAAGACCTTTAGTTCAGGATTTGTAAGATTATAAACTCAGACGTCTGCTGTGAATTTAGCATCATCCCAAAGAATGTGTTTAATCACCAGGAATTATGGAGATTTTCCCTTCACAGGCGTCCCCATGAGAAACAACTGCCATCTGAATGGAGCTTTACAGATTTTTGGTGCTATTATAGTAATGAAATGCCAAAAATGTACAGTGTGAGAACATGCAAAGGAGAACGTTAACCCGTGCTCTGTTAAAGGGGCAGTTCACCTTTTCACTCGCCCCATTGGCAGATTATTCTGCTTGTTTTAAGGAAAAACTCACTTCATTTTGGATTCGTTATTTGTGTAAACGAGACAAGATTTGTTATTCGTCTAGAAAATGCTCCTTTATTTAAGAATTTTTAAATATTTAGACTATAAACTCTAAGGAAGGCATTTTCAAACAAATTGCATGTTTCTGGCATCTCGTCGTGTTGTCAGAACACAGTGTTAAAGTCTAAACTCTTATCAGTCTGTAGTTGTTTATCATGCGTTGGTAAAAAGTCATGCAGCTCCTCAGCATTGTGCTGTCCGACTGATATGAGCATTTTTCCTGTGTGTCGTGGGCCTCAGCGAAGGCCTGAGAACCGGCCCCGGCGGTGCAATAAAGAGAACCTGATCCGTGTGTTTGGAGAAGCGGATGTGGGTCACTTCGGTGGTTCTGTAGGACTCTTTTCTTTTTTCTCTCTAGACGTGAGCTTGAGCAGATGTTAAAGTCATACACGGCCCCTTGTTTTCCCCCCGTGGAGAGAGCCGGACTCTGACAGTCAAGGGTACTGTTGTTTAGTTAAGACGTCCCAGTTTACCCCGCAGCCAGATGCGCTGGATTCTGGCACGCTGTCTCCGGGGCTCCTGCAAAAACTGCTTCTCTTTCTTTGAGTTTGTGTCTTGTTTCTAGTCCAAATGTCTACAAATTCTGAAATCAAGAAGCATTTAATAGACAAGCAAAAATATAGTGTTGTTATTAGAAATAATGAGTGTAAATGAAGTGAGATTTTCCTTAAAACAAGCTGAATAGTCTGACAGTGGAGAGAAAGTATCTTGCTTTTCCTTTTGACATGAGATTATTTTGCAGTGCATACAGTATTAAGTGATTATGTCAGTTTATTATAATGTATTATGTCAACAAAGCTCATCAAAGTAGTGTTTCCACCTTGAATTATTTTGTTAAATCAATTAATTAGAATTTTCAATTGCAGCATCATTTCAATTAAAATGCCTGGATTTATTTTTGGATTGCAGATATTACATTTTAAATTGCATGCAGTATATTGCACTTATCTGGGTAAAAATGGGAGGTTTAACCCAACATTGCAATTAGGTATCATTGCAGCCCAAAGACCTCCAAGCGGGAGGGATTGGCTGGGTGACCTCCAAGTGGGAGGGACTTACGCCGCAAGTAGGTGTAGTAGACATTAATAAAACCCAACAGGTTACTGTGAGGTTGGGTTTAGGATTGGGGTAGGTGTAGACATTAATAATACACAATAGGTTGTGTCTTTTATGTGTCATTTAAAAGACATTAATTAAATGAAAACTTCAGGTTTGTACAGTCCACCTGGAGCTCAAGTCCCACCCACTTGTAGTTGGCTCTGACCTCCGTTTATACCCTTCTCTAACACTGGGTCAGATATGGACAAACTCAGCCATTGGGTTAAAAATGCAATTTTTCAAAAAAAAAACTCAGCCCATCATTGTGTTTACACTGCAAGAAAAACGCTTAGTTAAAATGCTTCAAATATCTAAAAACTCTTAAAATAAAGGAGCATTTTCTAGACAAATAAGGACAAATCTTGGCTGTTTCTAAATTCCAAGATGGCAGAGAACAGACTTGCGTTCTTGTGGAGGGCGGTCTTGCCAGGTGTCCTCGGAAGAACGAACTCAGGAGACCGCAAGGGCAGAGAACGCGTCCTTTGAGAAATGGGATGCTGCGTTCTTCCTGATGGTCATGTGAACTTCACACATTTTAAATGGAAGTTATTAAAACATTAAAGCATCCATACAACGATTTATTGCATTTCCCCTCTTAAAAATATATACTTTGCATAAAAACATTATAAATAAACTCTGCACAATATAAATAAAACAAATTTTAATACGAATTTCAGCAAACAAACACCCTTAATGTGTTTATTCCTTTATTAAGATGTTCATGGTAATGTTTACTTTCACCGTTTACAGAAACTCCTGAGGTAAATAAGTGATATCTCTGAACTTTAATAATACATCTAAATAAAATGCTGCGCTTCCCACCTCCAGTTGCAATGACTTCTGGGACTTCCAGAGCGAGTTCGGTGCTCAAGGCTGCATCGGTGCGTCCTCGATATCAAGATCACGTCTGGGAAGTTTCACGCGTCCTCCGTACTTGCGGTCTTGAGTATTGGAACTGAACTTAGGCAGCTGATGATGACATTTCACGAGGACGCAAGACCGCTGAAGAACGCATATTGAGAAACAGCACTTGTCTCGTTTACACAAATATTGAGCCAAAATGAAGAGAGTTTCTCCTTAAAACAAGCAGAATAATCTGCCAATGGGTTAAGAAAAATTATGTTATGTCAATGCAAAAAATTGTCAGATTGTTCTGCATGTTTTAAGGAGAAACTCTCTTCATTTTGACTCATTATTTCTGTAAACAACACTTTATTTTAGTCCTGTTCAGAAAACTCTTCTTGATTTAAGAGTTTGTGGACAGTAGGGCTGGAAACACGACACAAACTCTGAGCTAGAACAGCATTTGTAATTCAATTAGTGTTGTAGGTCTTGAGTCCAGGGTGCTGTTGATTAGTTCAGCTGGCCCAGTTTACCCCGCAGCCAGATGCGCTGGATTCTGGCACGCTGTCTCCGGCTCTCGCTCTCAGTGTTTACAGGAGAGCTGGAGTTTATGGAGAGCCACGTTTGTGCTTTTCACTGCGTTCTGCCGTGTGTGTGTGTGTGTGTGTGTGTGTGTGTGTTTGTGTGTGTGT